GTGTGCGCGGCAGTGTGGGAATTTGGAAAGCTGCACCGTGCTTACCGGTGAACACTCCTAGACCCTACGGTGTGGCCCACCACCCTCGCCATTTCATATCAAAACCGTGGAAATAACCCCAATGCCCATCACTGGGAGGACAGAGGGAGACACGATGCTGCCTCTACACGGCAAGGACCGTGCAACGGGCACTTGGGACCCACAGCGATGCGGGGAGTTTGGGAAAGTCCAGTCCTGCGAGAACCCACAGGAGTGGCTGCTGCAGGCACGTCCGGGACAGACAGATGCTAAAATTGGCGGGCGGGACTGTTGGGAGGAGCAGGCTCAGAGACACGGGGCTGCAACTGCTGTGGCCACGTCATGAGTTCCCAATGCTTTAGGGACATTAGTCCTCCCTCCGTGGGTGTGGGCTGGACATGACGACTCGTGAAGAGTGTGTGGGAAGAGAAAAAGTCACTTTTCAGAGGAGACACTTGGCCGACACCCCTACACAGGTGGGGAAGGTCGAGGTCACCTTTGACATCATCCGGATGTCAGGGACCCCTGACAGGATATGGTGAGGTAGGAGGTGGCCCTCCTCAAAGCCTACCGTCCTGTGTCACCATGAGAAAACACCAGACAAACCCCAACTGAGGGACTCTTGCCAGGAGCCTGGCCGGACTCTCAGAACTCAGATCACCGAGGACAAGGAGAGACAGAGGACGTCACAGATGGGAGGGGGCTGAAGAGACGGGAAGATGAAATGCCACATGGGATCCTGGATGGAGTGGGAACAGGAAAAGGACGCTGGGGAAAAGCAGAATCCGGTCAGCCCCGGAAGTGCCAGGCCAGCGCCTCCACTTTGACAAGTGCCCAGGTGACAAGAGACAGTGTCCTTAGGGGAGGCTGAGAAGGGCACACGGGAGCCCTGGGCTGTCTTCACAGCTCCCTTGTAAGTCTAAAACTATGTCAAATGACAAGTTTTTAAAAACATAAGCCCCGGCTGTTTACTTGCAGCACAAACATTTTTATAAAGTCAAAAGCAACTAAATGGTAAAGACGTGCGTTT